CATTATGAAATTGCCACTTGATTTGCAGGGGAGCAGTGGTGTGGAATAGATTTTCAATAATATATATGCTTATGTTACATCTACAATTTATGATGTACAGTTTTGATGGCATTGCTCTCTGCCTGTGAAGAAAAGCCTCAGACCAAATAGATGGAACTAAACACAGTTGCATTTCATCCAGGCTTTTCCTTCTTTTATTTTTACAAAATTTTTATCAGATATTTCCCAAAAAGGTAGCAGATTTCTGACAAAGATACTGATACAGAGAACTTTCACCTGCTTTCCTTTTCTTCACAAAAATCCATCAGGAAAACTGTTGCCCTCCTCAAAAGATGATCTTATATAGAGGAGTGAGTATACGTATGGCATGATTTCACGATATAAGAGGTTTCCTTGGTGTGTTCTTATCCAGAAAGAAATGTATTTGTACAGTTCATGATCTTTGTAAATCAAAGCATAATACAGTGGTGAGATTTTCCACAATGATCAAGAAAATAAGAATAGCAGTGAAATATAGAAGAGCACATACTCCTTGAGAGCAGGAGAACAGGAAAAAACTAGTTTGATGCAAGACTTTCTCATGTGGATTATCTCAGGTCTAGAAACATGAATGAACACATATTGAAACATTTTCCTTCAGCAGAAGCGACTAAAGGGATATCATCTTTATCTAAATGCTTATGTTCACAATATTCTTAATGACAGGATAACTTGGAAAGCTTTATCACTCTGTCTCATTTGGTTTTAATTAACCAACATAGTATGAAGTTCCAAGAAGTTTTGTGCATAGCTTATAAAACCAAGATTACAAAACTATAAGACCAAGTTAACTTTCTACTAAGGATTTAAGTATCTAAGACACTGCATAGAATGTGACAACAGTAGGCTTCACTGAAGAAAGCACCATTTTTATTCAGCTACTGAGTGCAAACAAAATGGTGTTGGTTAATTAACATGTGGTGCATCCCACACAACAGCGTATCCACTTGAAATGCCATTTATTTAAACTTTTCCAATCTGTGTCATTCCCAATAGAATTTTTATTTTCCTGAACCATTATTGGACATGATTACTTTATCTGAATTAGGAAACAGCAGGTGCACACAAACGCTCATACATGTGTGAGCACGCCTATATAAATTATGACAGGAAATCAACTGTTCTTTCCTGTCAGGTAGCAGAGGGTCACACTTTGTGACTGCCTATTCTGGTAGTAAAGACTAAAATACACCTCAGCAAATTTGCCAGCCTAGATGCTTTTCAGCACTGTTTTTGCTTTAGGGAATAATGTGGCTTAGGAAAGAGCTACAGAGGCAGGTTCAGGTTTTCTTCTCTCTCTCACCTACTCTGAATTGCCTAGGAGTATGCCACTACTAATGAAGCAAAAGACACATTTGTATGGTTTTATGAGCATCTTATACATAACTTTGCCAGTTTTTGTAAAAAAATAAAAGCCATTTGTTTAAAGCATCAGAGCAAATAAAGATGATAAAATGTCAAACTAAATCAAATCTCGATTCCATGCATGGTAGAAAAATACTGTACTACCAGAAAAACTTCCTGAATAAAATATACTGTAAAGTCTCATATACATGCAAAAAATGGTTAAATAGAAAAATAATTGTCGCTGTTGAGGCAGTCACGACACGAGGCAAAGACTACTAGCAGTCTCAGATGGCAAATTTTTATTATTGAATACAGCTGATCTTTTATACACTTTCTAATTGGTTATGCTTCTTCTACCTTAACTATTGGACACAATAAATTAACATAAACCTATTGGTGAAAAGTTACAGTGACTTAACTAACTTTCTAAAAATACTTTGTGCAGATGTAAAATTCTCTTGTTATCTTTCTTCAATTCCTCAATTCTCTTAATCTCTTTAGTTACAACCTTTAAAAAAACCTCCTTATCAACTTCTTCTTTCTTCTCAACTTCTTCTCGCTCCTTTAACTAACAATCCCGCTATTAACCCCTTCTACAAATATGACAAATGCCATGGCAAATATCTGATGTGTTTACAGCTGGCAACATCCTTTCATGTTTCATACTAACTACTTGAAAGTACAAAAACAGTAAAGGATAAGACATTGAAATCAAGGAATGATAACTTTTTGCAATCAGGAAAGGGGTAGGTCTGAAATTTCCTGCAGTTTATGGTTCATGCAATAAAAGTTTCCAGTTCATTCCATTCAACTATCAGGACATGAATCACCTGAAATCTCATATCATGTCAGATTTCCCAGAAATGCTTGATGTCAAATTCTATGCTATTCATTTTTATAAATTTTCTCATGGAAAAGGATTTTATTTCTTATGCTTCTGGAAATAAAACTATTATGAAAGAAGCTCTATAGACCTTCCCTAATGTTTGCAGTTTGGGAAAAAGAAAACTGCGAAATAAAGCTAAATAAGTGGATTATTTTTTACTTTGCCAAAATACTTGCTTGAGTGTTGCTAGGATCATTCTGTTCCCTGATCTCCTGAGAGCTGAGAGATCTTAGAATGAGCGACAAAAATAATTGCCTCAGAACCACTAAAGACTGAATTACATTTCCTTTCGTTTCCATGAAGCTGTCCTGAGCAATAGTCAAAGAGAAACCCCCAAAATACCAATGAAAATTATATTTTCCAGAAGGAGTCCTAAAATATCTCAAGAAAGTGGAGAGTCTGAAGAGCACTCAGGCTACACAAAACCAAAGCTGCAGATGTTGTCATGATTAAGAGCATTGAGGCGGCCAAACCACTGAGTCCCAAACTTTTGATCTCTCAGTTTTAGCTAGAATTTTCCTCCTTGACTTGTATTAGAATTGAAACCCAGGGTAGAGATGCCATTAAGAAAGTACATTTATTCAGGCAATAAATACCAGCTTGCTCTCTATTTCCATCGCTTTTTCATAATGCAGGGAAAATCACAGCCATGACTTTTTTTTGATGACGCAAACCTGTTCCATCATAATTTCCACTAGAAATTTCATTTCTCCTATAAAATGTGTCTTTAAAGAGCCTACAATATTTTTAACATTTGTTATGCAATCAATACACTAAAGTGTTCTTTACATAACTATATTAAGACTATGTTCATTATTTCAGTCAATTAATCTTTTTCCTTTGAAATGCTGTTTGATATAAGCTTTTTTGGGGGTGGGAATATGGAGTAATTACATACTTTGTTTAAAACTTAACAATTATGGGGTCTTTCACATTTAAGATCAATCCGTCCTTTCAAATATTAATTATTTTCATAGCTCTGCGTGAAATATGTCTCTTATTTGCCCACTGTGCAGTCAGTATTAGCTGATTGATTACAAATTAATATTTAATGGAAATATTATTAATATTAATGTTTTTATAAGTATATTTCATTTTATGTTGGCAGTTCTTTTTTCCTTTTTCTGATTCAATTGAGTGATAGGTCACTTCTGTGAATAAGGTTGCTTTTAGTGAGGGTACAACATTCAGAATCACTTTGAACACTGAATTTTATATCTAGATTCTAGAGTGGAAACTGTTTAAACATTAACGTTCTCAACTCTGTATTACAGCTTTAGTACAAATATAACCTATTATAAGCCTGGGGATGCAGTCATCAGATACTGGTAAACGATGAGCTTGTATTTAAAAGTACTCACCATGAGTCCTGTGTGCAGTTTTGAGCACCACAACATAAGGATATAAATTTATTAGGGAGCATACATTAGAGGAAGATACTTAAGTGTCTAGTGAAGAAGTCATATGAGGAGTGGATGAAATTACCTGGTTTGTGCAGCCTCAAGAAGAGGAGACTGGGGGTAGACCTCATTGCAATCTGCAATTTCCTCATGAGGGGAAACAGAGTAGAAGACACTGATCTCTTCTTTGTGCTGACCAGTGACAGGACCTGAGGGAACGGGCTGAAGCTGAATCAGGAGAGGTTTAGGTTGCATATCAGGAAAAGGCTTTTCACCCAGAGGGTGTCTGGGCACTGGAACAGGCTCCCCAGAGAAGTGGTCACAGCACCAAGCCTGGCAGAGTTCAAGTAGCACGTGGACAATGCTCTCAGGCACATGGTGTGACTCTTGGGTTTATTCTGTGGAGAGCCAGGAGCTGGACCTAATGATCCTTAGATCATATAGAATCATAGAATATCCTGAGTTAGAACTCAATAATATCCCTTCCAGCTCAGGATAGTCTATGATTTGATGATTCTGTAATCTATCTTGTGATCTGTCAGCCCAGATATTCTTGAATTTAGGAAATGTTCCTTTGTGGATCTAAACTTGCACAGCACAGCCTTTCCATGTGCTGTTTAAAAGCATCTGCAGACAGAAAAATCTTAACTTTTTTTTTTTTTTTTTTCCTACTGTGAATGTCAGCATTGGCTGGTAGATGTTGTTCAGTCTCTATCTGTGGCAGGCTGCCCTGCTCCTTCTGTGAGGGGGTGTTAAAGCAAATTCTTGCAGCATGGAAAGAGCTATTACAGAAACTACCATTAAAAAGTAGTTGTCCTCAAGCACATATAGTTGGGTTGCAGACCTCCATTTAAACCACCCTGCAGCAAAACTGCAGATGTTTTTACCTACACCATTTTTATGGTTTCCTTTTAGCATCTTATTATAAAGGACGAGTCCTTTGCTCTCCCTTATTAACAACTAAACTGACCCTGTTTATCCAGTGTGAAAAACACTGGAGAGATTGATTACAAACATAAAGGCTTTATTTTGACATACTGGAATGTGGGGAAGGACTCACTGAACTTAGAGTCTATAGGAATATGTCACATCCAATGGCCAATAGTAACATGAAAAATTATTGTCCAAGGCAATCAAACAAAGCATTACAAGAAGAGAAATATACATTTTATTTTTTTTTTCTTTTCCAGAGCCACATAACAAAGATAAAATTAGTGAATCTGGTGAATATTCTCTCACTTTTATTTTACTTTTAAACAATCCCAATATTTTAAATTAATTCTTGTCAGGAGTTAATATTTGATACTTTTCAAAATTTGCTTTTACAGGCAAAACAACAAAGAAAGAAGCAAAAGTACATGGTAAGTCCTGTAAAAGACTGTAAGTTTTAGAGTCTCATTTATCTGGTTTGATTTTCAGTTGAGACAGGATTACATAGTGGGATAAAAAAAATAAAGCCATGAATATAATTTTACTGGTTTAATTAAAGTTACTTAAGCAATTGAATGGATGTGGGGCAACCATTCAGTCTTCTGGAACTGAGATCTAATTAAATGTCAAGAAGAACAAGAGGGGGAAAAATTCTTTATTTCATCTTTTAAAAGGTTTCTCTTTTCAAAGAAAGTTACAATAAATGGATGGAGAAACAAACACAAAATACAAGATTCAGAATGAGGAGGATAGGAAAATAAAGTAGGCTGTTTAATTTTCTTTTATGCCAGGCACCCATGCATTTTATTGTTGCAGCAAGGTGCTCTTGTTGCCAAGTGGAAACCACTTCTCCAGTTTATACAAATTTAGGAGAGCATAAAGATTTTCTCCTTTTACAGCCAAGCTTGATGACTCATTCATCAGATGACTCTATTTTCTCAGATACAAATTCGGAGCAAGAAGTACCTACGGTAAAAAGTCAATTTGTAGAAAAATGAATCTGTCCTTTTCTATAACATAAAAACCTGTCACAGTGCTTCAGAATGAAGGAAAAAAAAACAAGAGAAATGAGGTAGCTCAATTAATTTGCTTTTAGTTAATGCAGTTGTGAAGAATAGTAAAGAAATGAAACTGAGAAAACTTATATAAAGGAAGATTTTTGAAACTGGATCCTCCTCTGTATCAATTCTAGAAGTTTCAATAAACTCAAAACAAAAAAAAAAAAAAAGGTGAAAAAACCCCTAGCTTCTGCAAATCAGTGAAATTTTAAAAAAAAAAAAAAAAAAAAAAAAAACCCAAAACATTTCTATTGCATATCTTCCACCTATGTTTAATATGTGCTCACTCTGGAGACTATTTTACTCCTTGTCTCATCCTCACACTTGAAAATAGCAGAGTTAGTGAAGCTCTATATATAACTTATCTATTGGCCTTGTTTTCCACTGCTTTTAATCTGCAGGTTAATTAGTCATCTGCCCATGAGACAATCTAAACAAGGAACACATGTGTGTGTCAGGTTTTGTCTGCATAAAAAATAAGCTCCTACTCTGCATAGATATGTAGCATATTGAAAAAGGAAAGAGGTGTTAGGATCAATTTTAATTCCTTTATTCATTTATCCAATTTGTTTCTGTGAATGTTTTATTTTACAGCAGCTGTGGAAACTCCAAAGTTAAAAGGTGAGTAACTTGCGTGGTTTTGAAAACTGAAATTGAAGAATGCTGCTGTCAACTTTCCTGTAATGAAAAAAAGCTGCTTGTGAAAAAAACTTATGACAATATGATTTATTTGAAACAAACAGCCCTTTAAATTGTAATGGTGTTTTCCTTGCAGCATCTCAAAGCAGGCATCTTTTCCTCAAATTTTTCAAGGACTAACTGTAATTCTCCAACAATCTGAAATTCAGTTTCTAACCCTAACTCAAGCCATAAGGCTTTTGTGACAGGCAGAAAGAAGGAGTGACCAATCTTCTACAGAGACATGACACAAAGAAATATTTCTCTTTTTGCTGTTCTAACTGCAGGACAAACCCAGTGACTGAACAGCTGTTTTCTTTAAGGAGTTTTGCAGGGAGGCTTGATTTAACAGGCTTTGTCTACCTTTCATACATGAACTGTCAATGGCAGGAGGTGTGACAGTATCAATGCTTGCTCCAAAGGTTCCTTCTTTCCACAAGGCACAGGGAACTGGGACTGGTAAGAAACATCAAGGATGTAAATTCAAGCTGAGCAAGTATTTAATTGTTTCCTACCAGTGTCTGGTTTTTAAGTATGTGCAGTGTAAATTACTAGCTCCAAATTGCCCTCAAGAACACTACAGATTCAGAAATTGGAATGTCAGGTTGCAAACTGCCCTTTGCTCTTAGTCCATGTTTATTCATGTGAATGACCACCATACTTTTATAAGCATTCCTTTTCAGACAAATAAGGGGAAAAAAAAAGTTTTAGGAAGTTCACTTAATTAAGGATAAGTAGAAACAGTGACCTTCCATTATATAATATAGGAATAATTCTTTTTGTTGTCAAAAGAACAGTCTCACAACTGAAAGTGTTGGCCTCAGCCAACACTTAGTTTTACCATAGGATCAACCTAATATTGAACCTGAATTGTTCCCCCAGTGTCTAAGTAATGACAACTTTGTTTGATTCTTCATTAAATAAAAATGAGCTGATTTTAGCTCTGGGGAAATTGTTGATTTCTTAAAAAAAAATTTTTTGATTTCTTAAAAATTTCTTGTTAGCAAGTCATCTAAATTTAACTTTATGTTGCTAATTTTGAAACTCAAACATAGCCTGTACTCCAGGGGGAAAATCATATTTATATGAGAATGTTACAGCTGTTCCTTTTGCTACTTAGTAAGAATCACAAAGGAATACTGTTATTTTCTTCTGTATTCTGATGCAGACAAATTCTAGTAGTGTTTAATAGTAGTCCTTTATTAGTGTTTAACCTTTCTTTAAGTCTGAGAAAGTCATAGCTATCAAATCCATATTTGTTGTTCTACATTGTTGCTATTTATTTGTTTCTCATTTTTCTCCTTTTAGTCCTTAGAGACTTAGCAGCTCTCTGGACACAATGTGATTTTCAATGTTCAGTAGGTGTTGGTAAATGTAAATTTTTTTAAAGCACATTCATGGAAGGCAAACAATTCTGTTCTGAACAAAAGCAAGGCTCTTGATGAAATTCTCTGCTTTGGTAATTAAACAAAATTAATCTGCTGGCATAGAAGGAGGTCTGGACCATTCCCCCCACCCTGTACTTCCTATGAACTATCAAACTCACATGGAGCTTTCTTGCATTTTCTCACAAGCCACTACAGCATGAATTTTTTTTTTATTTCTCCATATAACAGAAGAGTTCCTAACCATAACATACACTTCTTAAGTTAATGATTTCTTGATTTTTTTGTAATGTCACAATGAGGAGCCTCTGACCTCAGGGTTCAGTGAGTGAAATGTTTTTTGTTTCCAGTGGGAATGATTTCTTTCTGTCTTCCATCACACTGAGCAAATATCTCAAAATAGCTTTAAAATCAGTGACATTTTAAATGCATAGTTTTGATGTGGATGGTAGTTATGCAACCTGTCTCTTTTGGGATAAAAATATTGTGACAAATTTGATTTTAGCCTACAACTATTGAGACTGCACAAATATTTGATGAATTGCTCTCGTGGCCAATTTCAGCATAAAACAATAGCTGCTGAATTGTCTCTCATTTGTTTCCTAAGAGCTTGTGATAGAATCAGAGAAACAATTATAAAGTAAATTGCCAATTTGATCTGCATTATGCCAAGTTGTCAAGAATTTTTGCTGAGAAATTATAAAATATATGTGGGAGTATTTCTCCATTTATTTAATCTATTTTTTAAACTATATTTCACTGAAAATATGGTTCCCTGATTAATTCCTGATTTTACCTTCATTTTATTTCATATTGCTTCATGCAGGAGTTTTCGTGGGTTTAGTTTGGGATGGGGAGTTGTATTTCGTCTTTTTTTTTTTTTTTTTTAAATGCCTGCCATTCTTCAGAGAAGAAAATTATAATACATTACAACATTCATATTACCTAAGTCATATGGCTAAAATATCAGCTTCTCAAATAGGGAATACTTGGAACAGTATCATTTTTTACAAAGAGATCAACTTTCAGGCTACCATTCATAAGTGGCAAGAACTTTCAAAATGCCCAGTGGAAGGGATGACTTACTTCTTGACCTACTCAGAAAACTTGTCTCTGTTCTGATAGAGACAGCCAGACATTCTGAATCTTATTCCAAACACCGACTCTACATGGATGGGCTTTCTGTTTATGGAGACTTTCAAAGTGACAGCTGTTACCTTGATGACAAAAGACCTCTCAGATTCACCAAAGTAGCTCATACCTCTCTTCTGAAAAAGCAAAGGGAACAATGGAATGTCCTGTTTGTCCTCCCAGATACTGCTCTGCCATGTCTAGATGATGTTACTTGGCAGTTCCCAAAATTTCTGGAGCTCTGTTCTGTCTCAGCAAGTTCTTCCTTACAAGCACTCACTCAATCATGGAAGTGTGTTGCATTACTGAATGCACTGCTAGCCAGAATACTGTCAATATATCTATTGTTATAGCAGCCCCGATGTTTCTCGACGATGGATAGTTCCTTCATGATAACCACACTCCTGTTCTACCATCATTACATACATTTGATGACTAAACACATGATTTTTTTCAGAAAGCTGTATTGCTCTTCTAGCCAGCAGCTCAGTATCCAGAAAAAAAAAAAACTTTATTCCATTTTAATGGAATAGAAGTATTTATGTGATGTGGGCAGGTGAAAATTTTTACAGTAAATTTACAAACCAAAAAGGCTTTTATTTCAGCTAAAGAGGATAAAAATGCTTTGAAGAAAACAATCATTCTCAATAGCTCATTTAGCTCTTGTCATAGCTGCTTTTGCAGATGTAATGCTAAAAATATATTTTGAAATGAGTGTGGGGCAGGTTTCTGGTGCCTCTTTTCGTATATTTCTTTCCATATTCAAATAGGCTTATTCTTCAAGATATTGACCGCTTCAGTAAGCATTTTAGAAGCTCCATGATATTGATTTGCTCAGTGGCAGGGCTCAGTGCTCAGACTCATCTTGGCTTGTCAGAGTCTAGTTCATGGTTAGTATAAGTAGTACTGCTGATTTAGGCCCAGGTAATATGGATGGTAATATCAGAGGTCTACAATAAATATTAAGGGTGTTTGGTTCATTTTGGCTTTCTCTGTGTCCATGAACAGCAATAAAAAATTAGGTAGTTGGACAGAAGTGGAATACTTTTTTTTTTTTTTTTTGAGTCAGACATATTTTAAACCTAGATTTTATTTTCAGGAAAATTGAAGATTATCTTCAATAAAATGAGTTCCCTGAGGTAACTGAGGTGCAGAAGTGCAATATTGCACTGTTTACATGCAGCTTGCTCACAAACACCTGCTCACATCACAAGGGAGTAATTGATGCCTGTGACTGGGTTCATCCCACTCAACAGGAAACAGTTCATTTATCGATACCTGACTTTTCACTGAATCTCAGGTTCAGAGAATCTGGGAACAGATCATTCCTTTGACCCCCAGCCCACCAGCAGACATTGCAGACAGGCCATAGCTTATTAAGAGAGCTGATCTGTATGAGCAATCATGCCCACCAGTTCCAGATTGCTCTTGAAAGGATGTCCTGGTGGAGCCCCTGGGGCCAGACTTGCAGTCCAGGCAGCACGGAGGCAGTGAGCACACATGAAGGTACTTCATAGGTTCTTGAATTCCCTGACTTTCTCAGTATAAATAATGATAACAGAACATGACCTTCAGAATTTACTTTGTCTCTAAAAGCTAAACTCTTAATTTTCAACTGTGATTTGTTCTAATAAAATGACAGGGTGAAATAACAAGCTGAGAGGTTGTTATATGTGCTAATGACCCTGAAGCTGCAGACATTCTCTACCAGATGTAGATCCATCAGACGTAAATTAATTACATTATTTTACATCCATCAGATGTAAATTGATTTTCAGTGTCCACTTTACATCCTGCCACTTAGGCTGATTGTTTGTTCTTTATGCTACTTTCAAATAATGACAATGAAGCTTATTTTCATAATGCCACATTTTTTATCTCAAACACTGTACGACTTTTAAATTAAACAAGGATTTCATTTAGCGTAATAGTTATAAATTATGGCTACAAAAGCTTGGTTTCACAGAAGTGAAACGTTGGAAGTGCAATTTACAGCTAAACATGTATATTTCTAGATTTACAGCATTTAACCCCAAATAATTCAATGAATAAGAAATATATATGTTGTCCTAAAGATATAATCTTGTACGTCACCAAACCTGCAGTGTAAATTGTCAGAAACTATAAAAGATTCCAATATTTATGTAAGCAAGGTCTAACGGTACCCCTTCTTGCATTACCTCTTAGATAGTTTCATCCTTAATATCCTTTGTCTCCCAAGATGTGTAAATGAATTTACAAATTGTGCTTGCCAAGCTTGTGAATAAGCAATTGGATGAGTCCATGCATCCTGACCTGGGCTGCTGCAGCCGCTTCCCCTGGTGTCAGTAAAGGTTAAGCAGCCCTGCTTCACAAGGGACCTGGTTCACACTTCTTGCTTGCCCACAGAAATCTCAGTATTCAGAAGGATCAAGTTAGATGCCATAACATACAGTTCATCTGTGGCCTGCCACCTTCACTGAGCCTAACCACGTGCTTAAAGCTGAGAATACGAGGAAATGATTTGCTCTGTCAGGGGTGCAGAGTGCAGTTTTCTGCTGGTGCAAACAGAAAACCATGCTTTCTGGGGAACTCTTGAATGGCTGGGCTAGGTAAAGATCTGCTTGCTTTGCTCTCTTCTATGTTGCAAAATATGTTCTGCAGTTTAGCCCCTGTTTCACCTGACGTGACAGAATCATGTAATGGTTTGGGTTGGAAGGAGCCTTAAAGACCATCTAGTTCCAAGCCCCCTGCACTGGGCAGCCACACCTTCTGCTTGATCAGGCCCACTTTTTGTTCTCTGAAAGAAAATTAAAAAAGGAATCACTCTTCTTTCAGACAGATAAGAAATATCTATTATGTATTCATATATTGGGGGGAATCTCATGATTGGAAATATTTGAAATCTTTTGACTTAAGATAATGTGTAAGCATTTAAGAACAACTTTGTCTGATGTAGCAACACCTCTGACTAGAAATCTTCCTTAAACCATATCTTTTATTTGCAGCCGGACTTGAAAAAAAAGAAGCAAAAGCAACAAAGGCAGCAGTGCAAGGTAAAAAGAACACAAAACACTTCGGCGTTATCTCTCTTAAAACACAATGGCACAGAAACAATAATCTCAGATTCAGAGAGCTGGATGACAGCAACCTTTAAATCCATTAGTTCGCCAGTATTTTTTTCAGAGTTCTGCTGCTTTTGTCATAGCAACAGGGAATTTCCATTATAAAACTGGCTTTGTCCCACAAAACTACCACCCCAACAAAAAGCTTCAGGTAGATGGCTGCCCACTTCAGATGAAAGGTTCTGTGCTGGGACTTAGTGTCCCACTGATCTTGCAAGAGGCTTCCTGCCCCTGTAGCCTGGACAGGGATCAGCCTTGGCTACTCAGTCTGACAGAGTAAAACTTGCAATGAAGTAAAAGGGCAGAGGCTCTCTGAAGTCAGCTGAGCTACCCTTCTTGTCCCAGATGAAACATCAGCCCCCTGAAGAGTCACAAATGTCCATGGCAGAAAATCTCAAAAGCTTTTGAGATCAGACCTTGTAGAAATTTTTTGCAAAAATCTTAGGGTTGGTATGGATAAGGCATGAGTGGGAATGTCTGAGTTGGAACACTGAAAGAAAAACTGCAAGAACCAGGTGTGGATGGCACATAGTTTAGAGTGACACAAAGTCTATATCCATTGTCCCAAGCCAATGACAGCAGGAATACCAAGGCACATAGTTTAGAGGGACACAAAGTCTATATCCATTGTCCCAAGCCAATGACAGCAGGAATACCAAGGAATGGTCTACACCAAGGACAAAAGAAAACTCAAGCCACTGAGTGAATGCAAAAAGAGAAGGATTGATGCTTTAAACCATCTAAAGATGTCTTTTCCTATTATATGCATTCATATTATTTATTGTTGTTATTATTATTATTGCCTTCAACATTTTATCTTCATACTTGCTTCTTGTACACTTTTTAAATGCAATCCATACTTTTTTAGGTTAGTATGGTAAGAAGCAAAGTAATAAAAAGGGTGTCTAAATCCTCAAAGCTCATCAGCTCAGGCTTCCTTTATGTGATTGAGGTGATTTTTATACTCACTCCTGCTCACATTGGCAGCTAGAGCCCTGAGGATGAGCTTGCCAGTAACGTTAGTATGAGATGTAAGACATGTTTACTTGTGTAACTTTGGTCATTGTGTAGCTTCATTTTCTTCCGTTTTTCAGCTTCAGCTTTACTCAGAATTACTCAAGCCAGCACAGACACCCTGCAGCAGCTGTCAGCTGCTTGGTAGTTGTCATGGAAAATGTTATAATTAGGTGGGCCTTGGCCTAGATTTCAGGCATTGTTAGGCTGGGTATCTTCACATTATTTTCCATTGCCACACAAGTGCTTCTCCAGACATCCACATTGCTTCCTCTCTCTTGTCTGTCTCATGGAGCAATGAGGTGTGTGGTTGCTGTAAGATTTTATCCTTTCTACAGTGTACCACCAGTAGCTAGGATTTTATCTGCCAAACATTTTAACTGTGCCATAAAGAGCACAGACTGAGCAGTACAAACTATAGTTTCACATGGGTGGCATGGAGCAGGGTTTTCTAAAGCACAGGATGTGATACCCAAGGAGCTCGAAAGGGGGGCAAACTGTTTCCCATGACAGCAGCAGTAGCAGCAGCAGCAGTGTCTCCCCATGCCAGCACTATCTAGTGTCTCCAAGTCAAAGGAATAAGAGCAACATGTACTGTCTGTCACAACTATTTCTGCATCTACTTCCCAGTGCTGGCAGCAGCTCAGTTCCTCTGGTGCACAGAAGTGAGCACAAACACTTTTACACAGCAATTCCCTCTGCTTCTCATTTCTGCACCCTATATGTATGGAGCTGCTGCCAACATATTGATCACCCAAAGACAAGCCAAAAAAATCAATTTTGGGATGCTTTTTTTAATATTACCATGTACTTATATTATTCAAAGAATTTGCATCAGAACACACTTCAAAGTAGAGGGATTCAGTCCTGGTCAAAACTGGGACTTGCAATCTACAAAAAACAGTATAAGAAGACTTGCAGAAAAATCTGGAGTGTTGTAGGCTGGATGTGCTTAGCAATCAGGACATAACTTCATTGTTTCAAACAAAGGTTTTAGTGATTATTGCAACTTTGACCTCAAACCCCCACACCTGGAAGTGGGCTGAAAGATTGTAGCAACATCCCAGTTCAATGGTCTTTTATTAGTTGAAAAGCCAAACTACAGGTAATATTTTTAACTGTTAGAAGATGAGCAAGAAGGCACTTAACTTTAACTCTTTGACCTATTTGAAAAATGTCATGAGCAAATATCAGATGGTTTCCAGGAAGTTAATGCCTGTTACTGAGAATTAATATTTAAAAGAGATAATAAAAAGGTTTTTGGTTTTTTTCCTAGTACTGTCCAATAGTACTAAGAAAGGAGACTTGCCATCAGTTAAAAAGGATCATATCAGACTAGGGGGTTTCATGCTCTTTGTGCGTGCATGAAAGGCAATAGGTGGGAACCATGAACTTTATTCACATATTCTGTCAAGACACAGTGGAGGTTCAAGATATATTAAAGCATTAGGGTCAACATGCATTTAAATACATTTTCATTAGTTGACTATATTTTTTAAAATTTCCCACGTGAACATGAATTCTAACATTTCCTTTTCTTTTTGTCTTTTCACTTTTGTTTCCCTTCCCTTCTTTCTCCAGATAAACCAAAGATGAAACAAGGAAGTAAGCTATAGTTTTGCTTATTAAAGTAACATCTTCCACAAGAGTTTGGGTAACTGTGCTCTTAATAATGGGGGTGTACAACAGCTTTAATTTCTTACTGGTGGACTTCTGAAAGCAAAGGCTTTATGTCATGCTTTAAATTGCTTATTTTGGCTGGAGCTCTGTTTTCAGCTGTCTACTTTTGTTTGCAGACACTATTGCACTGAACATGAAACCTTGTGGGAATTTTTCATTACACACAATCACAGAAGGAAATGTTTTTCAGTCTTCCCACTGAATTTTATATCTCTTCACAGAGTCTTCTGTGATTAACTTAATATTTAAAAATTGGAAATATTTTTTATTGGGACTATGAATATGTGTGAATATGTCCACCAAATATGCCTACAGTTATCTGCAATAAATTGTGTATTTTCTCATTTTGAAAATATGAGACTGAATAATAAATTGGTGAGCACAAAAAGTGAAGGTCAAAGCAGGAGAGCAGGAGTAGTTTCTGAAGCAGACATCTGAGGTGTAATGAGGAATAGAAGAGACAGCTTTATTTCACTAAAGTTGCATTTTTGACCTTGTTCAGCAGATTTCTTTCTCAAGTCTTCTCCTTTAAAAATTACATTGTATGGTAGTATCTAGTATTGCCTTTTTAGAAACACAATGTAGAAGGAGAAAAATAATGAAAAATTTATCTCTTGACATCAGTCCCAACAGAAGAGGTCTTTCAATGTCAACAGCAAATTAGGTTTTTACACTTGACAGCTATTTCTATCATAAATAAAAAGTTATTATTTATGGGTCCCTTCAATTCAGATTCCCCAGCATCTCAGTTTGTCTTAGTCAGAGACAAATACTAAACCATGAACAAGATTTATTGATATCATGATAAATTGCCATTGGGCACAGCCTATGCTTTTATAATAAAAGAGACAATTTGTGAACTGTGTATCATTAAGGCAGTAAACAATTACCACTAAAACTACCTACTGTAGCTTATACAATTTTCATATTTATCTACTAAACACAACCTCCATCTCCTAAACACAAACTCCTCCTCATCAGGAGTCTTGACTTCTCATCCTATGTGTAGAAACCAAGCAGGCCTTCTAAGTTTTGTTTAATATCTACTGGCACTGAATTGCTGACGATTGTTTCAACAGAAGGAATTTTTGCTTCATATGTGATGGAGAACCTAGTATTTTTTAGTTTTTCAAGAAAACACCTATTAGCATTTCTCAGATGACATGTATAAAACAGTTTAACCAGCAGCTGGCTGGTTAAATTACTTAAAATGCAGGAAGTCAAAATCAAAGTCTCTAATCTTTTTGAACTGACTGTTTTGGGACAGTCTTGTCTGCCTTTTTTATTTTGTGGTGAAAAGCTTTGGAGACCTTTCATCAGTCCAGAATGACAATCTCACATTTTGTCTGAAACTGAAGTCTTTTCTTTTTTCTATCTGAAATAAATTTTTTCTTAAGCTTTTTTCAAGGGACTATCCTTCCTTGAGGAAGGCTTGTGTGGCCTAGCCATCTTCTCTACCTGTCTGTAGGCAGAATAAAAGCAACTCTTCACCCACCTATTTGTAACTGCTGTGTTGCTCACTCACTTTGATCAGCATCTGCCCTTTAGAAAAGAATAGATCCAATAAGAAGACCTTTGACCTTGCTCAGTAAGAATGGTCAATCCCAGATGAGGGAAGTAGGCCACAGTCAGCTCCAATGAGTCAAATTTGGCAAAGCATCAGTTTTGACCTTTCTGGTTAAGAGCACTGAAAAACTGTCTCATACTAAGCTGAAGTTTGCAAATTTTATAATTAAATCTACAATAGTTAATCAACAAAACACATTTTGTGGACTGAACTGTCTGAATGATACCTGGTGAATTTTGTACAAGTCTTTCAATAACCCACTTTTAACCATGTCTTCCAATGTATAGTTTTAGTCTCTTGCGCGATCTATATGCTTCATTCTCTCCTCTGGTTAAATCTCATTGCTTCACTCAGTTGTGGTTTCTGGCTGTCACTTTATTGTTGTGACTAATTCTTTTACAGATCCTGGAAAAGATAAAGAATTGAAATCTCCAGCTGCCACAAAAGTTAAAGGTAACATGGCAAGATGGATTTGTATATAACTCTAAGATCTGTGTGCATCAAAAAAAAAAAAAAAAAAAAACAAACAAAAAAAAAAAACCACACACCAAAACTTGGAATGCATTACCATTTTATTTTTTAAAGTATGATTTAATTAGGAATTTATAACCATTATACTATTTCAGTAAATTTGCAATGGAACCTAATTGGCATTATCTGAATTAGAAGTGCAAAGAGAGCACTGGTTACACTAGTTATAAAAATTAAGATGGTTAAACTCAGAATTTAGGAACACTTTTTAGTATTTATTACAAGCTGAAAAGTGAAATAAGTTTTGAGTGATCTTTGTTCTTTCTTCAAATTTAAGAAAATTTGTGGTTTCACTTTGTGAGAATGCTAAAACTGATGAAAATTAATTTTGTGCTACACATTTAGTTGGTATCTCATGTCAGTTAGAAACCACCAATTATTCAATCAATCCTTATGCTAGTGGAATTAAATGTCAACCATTTAACACTCTAGCTTGAAGATTAATAAATTTTTTTTTTACAGACCATGCTAAAGAAAAGAAAGGGAAGAATCCTACCTCTTTAAAAGAAAAAGGTAAGAATGCATAACAAAATATATGAGTTGCTAAAACCACACAAAGTAGAATAAAGATGCTAATTTTTTTTAACAATCATTATCAGTCTTTCTCATTATAAATCTTAACCAATTATAATTTAATTAGTTAAAATATTCTACAGGATCTACAGCATTAAAAAGGCAGGGGAGAATATAAATAGAATATATTAAGACAATTAAAATTCAGAATTCTTAAAATTAATTAAATCAATATCATAAACTTCTGTAATAGTTAAGTACCTTGAAAAGAAGGTCTGAACAATGACAAGTCTTTAATAGGGGCCAGTTAAGAAATTCTGAACTGAATCATTTCACAAATGTGTGAACAAAATTGGAAGAAAATAAGGTTTATGAGCACATGAGTAGGAAACATGCTTTCTGTACTCTGTAAAAGTTGTAGCTAAAACCCCACCACTTCATCGAGTCAACCATCCACAACGTGAGAGCTGGTCTGAATCTTTCTTGTATTCTTTATCTTTTTTTTTCTTTTTTTTTTTTTTTTTTTTTTTTTTTTTTTGCTTTGGCAATTTGATCAGAGTAGATGGTTAACTCAGTTAAATTTCCTTTAATAATTTGCTTTATTGGGTGCTTTTTACGCATCTTATTTCTTCCCTCCTTTCTAGAAATAACTTTATTTGGAAGAAGTTACTTATGGATAAGTCTTATTTGACATCTTCGGTATAAAAAGATCTACCATATATGTAGTTGAGTTAATATTTATTCTAAGTTATAGTCTATAACTATTATAAGTCTATAGCTATATATAGATAGATATGGTCTGCAATATATAGACTTTAGTCTGTAACTATTTCAAGTTACAGTCATTCTATGCAATTTCAAAGAAAGAACTGAATGAAGAGATCAATTCAAGCAGAATTGAAAGATGACAAAAACATATACAGCAAAGGAGGAATAATTCATTGCTAGACATATTTTCAAAATCCTAGAATCTATGTTCATTCACTTTTTTGTTCAAAAATTTTAATTAAATTATGGCAATCTGCAAATTCTATGGTGCATATATATTGTTCTCTGTGTGTTCTACTAATGTACACATGCCCCATTTACACAAGCTTAGTTATCTGGACCAGTACTGTATATACAAATTCTATGGGGTCCTGTGGCACTCTCCAAAGACTGCCTATAATTTGTGCCTGCCTGATGGTGTTGTGCTGAAAAAATAAAAGAAGCACTTGAGTGACAACTCTGCCCCCTCTATCCCTGCATGGAGCGTGTGCATTCAGCCTGCTGCTCCATTCAAAGGATTACAGGGAGGCAGGGAGAGGAGAAAGAAAGAGAGAAGATCCAAAACTTTTTTCTCTTTGATAAGAGTTTCTTTAGAGCAAATGGATAGTGGTTTGCCAGCACTGAAAAAGTTTCTGCAGTGTGTCCTTTGTTGAGAGTGGCCACAGCACTGATTTTTGTCTCCCATGCTCATGTTTAACTTATCAATAACTTCAATTACTAAGTTATTAGTAATTAGTAATTACAGGTCCTTCAAACGTGACAAAGGAGGCTAGACTTTCTCCGCCCAGCCTTCAGAAAAGAGCAGGTAGGAATTTTTTTTAAATGTCAGTACAACTGAAAACTTGCTGGTGAATATTTCTGAAAAGACATCACAGGCACCTTACCCCCCCAGCAGCACTGATATCCAGCTCAGCTGAGCCTGTCCCTCAGATCCTGAGAGCTCTTGCTGATGCAGCCATCACTGTTTCCCATAACAGGCATCAAACTGGCAAAATTCTGTGCCTGTGCCCAACAACAAGGATGCTGATTAGTGAGCTGTAGAGCTCAGTTGAAAATATATCAGCATCAAAGACTATAGGGACAACTTATAAAGCTGTGGGGAGAAACTTCTAGAAACCTTGGTGCCTTTCTTAGTTGTGTATTTTCTTATTGCATTATGAATTGTGGATCTGCTGCATAAACATATATTTCACATTATTTGTCTCCCATTTCAGTCATCATATCTGCCCAAACTGTGGTTCATAAATTAATCAAAGCCTATTTGCATGCCATTCCTTCCCCTCTCCATCACCTCTTCAAGCCTCATGTTTGCCTCTCTAAATGTTATTGACAAGGTCACCAGGGACTTCTTTTTACTCTTTGCGACATGGTGTTTTGCAATTTTTTTTCTTAAAGTGGATCTTTCTGGAAAATACAAATATATCAAAGGACACAGGAAAGTAAGGACTTTTAAGACTGCATATACTTCCTATTTATGTATCTTGGGAGTTTGTTACTATTCATGTAGACTAAATAAAGGAACACTTCTAGGTGAAGTGTTAAATGCTCATGGTGATTAATGTGTGTCTGGCACCTTATGCGATAAAAGAACTATCATCACACCTCATTCCCTTTGAAGGATGGACTAAAGAACGAGCAAGGATGATGTCCAGACCAAAAACCTTATCCTAAACCTTATCCTTCAGCTATTTTTCATTAGCTGAAGTTTTTGTGTTTTTATTCAAAGCAGAAAGAGGAAAAATAAATCCCTGAATTTGGAGTTGTTGCTGGGATACTCTATAGATCATAACCCTACAAAGTTACTTTATCTATTTTATGAGGTGAATAAAATGTCTTCAGTCTTGGAGCCTAATTTTATTGAGAGTAGTTAAAGAGAACACTGGAATAATACATTTTCCACTTCTTAGTGATACAGGACATCTCAAGACTCTGTCTGAATGTATAACTAGCTTTTTAGCTCTTCCCTGCAGTAAAGAAGAGTAAAGAAGCCCATTTGTACTCACGAATATAAAAACTGATTTTCTGTTGACATAGCCATATTCAAATAACTTGAGGCCACTGAAACTCTAAGTTATAATTTGCCACATGGTTTTTGGGTAAGTATCTTACCCAGCTAACCAGAGTAGAAGTTTATTCACTGTGTAACAGTGGCACTAAAAGTTCATAATATTTCATATATAACTCTTCATTGAATTTTTCTAAAAGATAACTCGGCATTGTGACTAGTTATTGACAACATCTATCCTGTATAGATAACATAAATTCCTTCTCACCCTGAGTTCCATGATTTATTTTCCAAACCATTGCTCTTTTTTCTTCTTCTTTGCTTTTGACATATTTTGGGATGTCTTTGAATATTTTCTTATGTCAGCTATGCGTGGATAATAAACCTATTTATTTTTATATGCGGAGTGATAGGGGAAATAAGTCAGTAGTGTGTATTTCTTTCTTGCCATATATGTTATAGTATGCTGTCATTAAAGAAACAAATGAGCTGATTTGCATTTGCTATGCAATACTTGCACTTCCTTTAAAGCAAATGTAACATGAAATAAGATCTTGCCTGCGGCATTTTTTTTCTTAACTTGTAACATACTTTTTTTTCCCTTAGAAATGTAGTTATATTGTGAGCAGTAGCAGCTCACATTTCTGTCTATTTCCATTTATCTGTCATGGTCATTTGCATGTGAACTATATCTTTATCCTGAGGATATCACACACTGCTGCTGCTTCATCATTTTATACCATCATCCTAACCTGACCCAGCTTCACCCCCAGAGTAGAATGTGTGAGGAAAGCATTATGGTGAAAGCTGGCTTTAAGCCAACTTTATGTTTTTTCCCTTCTGGGACCAGTAATAAAGTAGTCATTTGAGAGCAGAAGTTTGAAAAGTCCTCAGTGAGTATGTGTTTAAACTTCTGAAAATGAAAACCTGCTCCCTGGAAAAAAATCAGAACTGGTGGTCACAGTATCCTTGGTTCAGAGGATGGGGAAATTGGTGCACCATGTAACGTGTCCTGTGCTGAGAGTTGCATCCAAAAGTTGTAAGACTCAAAAGTGCTGAACCTGCTTTAGGAGCTACATATTATAGGAAATCTAAGGGAGATCTGCTACATGGATAGCAAAAAACCAGCATGGGCATATGGCACAAAACCCACAAGGCCAAAGATTTGTGGCTGTGGCTGCAAGGGTGGCTGCTGATCCCTGAGATCACCAGTGTGCCAGAGTAGAGTGGTCAAGTCGGAGAACTGTTGCCTCAAGTTTTTTCATAGAGTCAACACAGAGGCTACCTCAAAGGGTTTCAGGCTTCACACTGGAAGTTTTCTCTCAATCTCCTAGAGAAGAGTCCACCTGCTGCTGTGAAGATCAGGCTCCTAATTTCATAACCTATCCCTGTGCAGTGTGGTTTCTCCAACAGCTTCAGCCACCCTGGAAGTGATTTTTTTTCTGTTACAACTCACACTTAAATCCAGATGGATAAGTGGGATCACTTCCTGGTACCATGGCAGCCAGGAGGATGTTCAGAGTTAAAATTATTTTCTGAAGTATCTTCTTTTAGCTTTTTCTGTTTTACTGAAGATTTGGTTTACTTTCATTTGGAAAAAATGGCATGGGTTTTTTTTCCTATATGCTTAGGTGCTATATCCTGTCAGATATCCTGGCTCTGTTTAACATTCTGCAGGCTGTGATTTCTTTCACTCAAACTGCATACATTCAAAAGCCTATCAAATTATTTCTTCACTTTGGAAAAAATTATTTTCTCCTAATTTCCCTGATAAATATGCCTAGGATGTCAAGAGACTGTTGCTTGAAAAAAATTATTTAAACATTAGCTGTTTACACAACATAGTGTATGTTTTTCCTGTGCTTGCTGACCCTGAATTCATATTCCCTGAAGGACTGAGGTAAAGATATATTCTTCAGACAGAGAAAGCAGAAACTGTCTTTATGAAGTTTTGGATAACACCCAAAGAATTCCAAATCCTGTGTCATTGCTTGCATTTTCCTCATCTTTGGAATTTCTCTCTTCTGTGTGGTCTCTACAGACAGTCACCAAAAGAAATTTCTATTCTTGCTTTTGCTACTAATGTTATTGCTCCTTAAAAATATGACACAGTGTATAGAGAGGATATAAAGAGAGGTCAAGTTTGTATCTCTTTATGTTCACAATTTTGGTCTTGGTTTTTAAATATTTCTTGAGTTTTCTTTTAAATGTAGAAGGGTATTCCTGTCTTCTAAGTCTCAGAAACATAATTATCTTCCTACAGATTCCCTGAAAGGAAAAAATCCCAAGAATCTGGAGAGCTTAAGAGAAAAAGGTAAGTGAAGAAATCCAGACCTGAATATCAGAACAGTTACTCAGTCTAGAAAGAGCTCTTGAGTAGGTATATAGAAGTGTGGAAAACCAAACCCATCTTGGTTCCTGTTTAGATTATTTTAGCCATTATATTGTTTTTAGTAATATTTGTGCTCTACAGATCCCAGTAGGATCCCTAGAAATCATCTAGGCTTCTTTTAAATGTGAATATTTGAATTTATGTCTTGGGGGAAAGACTAAAATTTGGTTTTATACCACTTTTGGATGTTAGTCTGTCAAAAATGTGTTGTCTAAATCCCATAGTGGGAACATTACTGAAGGGAACTAGACTAAAACTGGTCCATGTGGCTACAGCTCAGGAATGTGGGTGTCTGAGAATTAAACTGCGTGAGGCTACTGACACATCCAGGTGTTTGAGGGTGACTGATATGACAAAATTTTTTCTTAATTTGTTGGCAACATGGACACACTTATCTCTGTGTCTAATCCTTTCAGTTGCAAGACCACTGCTAACTGTTCACACAGGGGTCATGGGTTGCTCAATAGCATTTATTTGGAGCAAAGCCTGTTTGTTGCAGTGTAATGTGTATGGAACACTCTCTTTCTGGAGAATACTAAAACAGCTGAAAAACTTAAACAAAGCAGCAAAGGCTGTCAGTACTGTGCCTGGTGCCTCGGCTGGAACAGCACACCTGACGTATAGATTGTAACAAAGTCCCATTTTTTTGGAAGCTGGAGATATTGGATGCAGTCCGGATTATGGCTGCTGAATAGATATAGAACAAAATGGCACACTTCTGCAAGGAATGTATTATTCCTTGTAAAAAACTGTAGGAAATCGAGCCAGGACGTCCCTTGTAGCTGAGAATTCTCCTCTATGCCACCACTGTCAGTCCCTCTGTCTCACCTGGGCACCAAAAGAAGATCATAGTTTTTCTTTATTTGTGCTTAGCTAACTCCTGAATTTTTTGGGGTTTTTTGGGGGATTTGTTTGTTTGGTTGGGGTTTTTTTGTCCTTGAGTCTGCCTTGTCAGTTACTAGAAAGGGAGAACTATAATATCAGGGGTTTTTTTTCCTCTTCTCCTTTAATATTTTGTCATATACTGAAGAAAAAAAAAATAAAGATACAATTAAGTCCCTGGACTATTAATTTTGACATAAAATATATTCATGTACATTTGAAGGATGAGCACTGCTCTGCTTTTATAGCCAGTGTGCCTGTCATTTTAAAAGGCCATATATACACAGGAAGTGAAATTCTGTTCACAGGCAATACCCATATGGCCTCTTCAATATTAAAAGAGTATTGGAGTCCTGAATGAGTAGCTGGTCCTTTTGTAACTCCCATTCACCTTTATCAGCAGCCTCTGGCTTTCAAGAGCACTATTCCTCATATTTCAATTGTGTCAATGTGGATTAATTTTTATTTAGGTTCAGCAAAAGAAAAAATCATTGATGCCAACTGCTCTGTAGAATTTTTTTCTTCTTTTTAAGTAATTCTTCACTGCCTACTTGAGAGAGGGCTCCACAGTTTCCTTAAAATTCAGAGAAACTAATGACATTTTGAAGGCTTATTATTTTGCATATCCAAGACTAGAAAGATGAATGGATGACCTTGTGTTTTTGTCCTGTTCTTTATTTCCATGCTGTTAAATCTATTTAATTATCACATCTCTTTTGCTCTCCACATATCAAATTGTTTGACTTGCTTTTTATTCAAGTGCCATCTTATTTCCCTAACTTGACTTGTGATAAATGTTAAATGTTTCTTTCTAGAGACTGGAAAAAGAAAAGATGTGAAACCTCCAACAGCCTTAAAGGAAAAAGGTAACATCTTATAATGATGTGGCTGGCAAATAACAAGTAGTCTGCTGGTATCTCAGTGCAGTTTTGATATATTTTGAATTACAGTCCGTTGGCAAAAAGGGACCAAACCTAGATTCTTCTCATTCAAAAAGATCTGATATATTGAAAGGAGCAGTGTCTGACGTGATTCAGAAATAATAAAGTCATAACACTCCTTATTGTGGTGTTCTTTATCTGCTGTCTGACCTGCACAGCCAATATTGCAGTGGGAGTGCTAGTCTGTTGTGAGTGAATTAGTAACAGAGCTGCTACTGAATGCACATGACAGGCTGAAATGATAGGCTGCACAGGAATGAGTGTATGGTTTGACCTGCAGAAACTTTGCCAGCAAATTTAGTGGGAATTATTTTTGGTTTGCTTTCAATTGAAGTTTGTGCCTTTTATTGAATTAAAGGAAAATTCTAATTCTTAACACATCTTTTTTATGCATTTGGCTGATCTGGTATTATGCACATTTGTTACAGTACCAATGAGCACACAGTTATGTTGCTAATTTTCTTCTTTCATTTTTGTGTTTGATTTCTTTTTCAGATTCTTCAAAGCAAAAAGAAATTAAGGCTTCAACTAATCCTAAGGAAAAAGGTAACAATCCCAAGTTGAACTGAACCTTAACCCAAATTTCAGTTGAGAAAATAAATCCATTGTTCAAGGTGTCACAAATTAGATCCTATTTTCTTTGGTCCTGAATGTCCTTGAATGGCATCCTTTGCTGCTGAACATTCTTTTTACCTGATTGAATAAGTGATGGGTGCATATGAGGCTCTACAATGTTGTAGCTGTTGGTATTTTATAGACTCTAAAGTCAAAAGGAATTTGTTTCTTTTTTCTTGATTTTGTCTCATTCTTCCTATTTAAATTAATAATTTCAAATTACATTTTACTTCTTCTACATATTATTTGATTGCGCTTTTCCCTCTCTTCTTATTATGAAATATCAGCACTAGCCATCAAATAAAAATCAATTACACTTTACAGTACATGTCAAATACTAGGCATATCCAGGCACTGTAATTATAATTAACCAACTATGTTCAGGTTTATTTATTCATATCAAATAAATTCAAACAAAACCTAGTTTATTTTTATCCTATTTGAATATGGATTAAATCCACTTTTTCATTATAAAACAGTTGCTCAAGTTAAATGAGTAAATAATAGATAACATGGATAAAAATAACAAGTTATTACTTGTTAGCTAAAAACAGTCATTTGAGTCATGGGGATGTAGTAGTCTATCTTAAAATCTTCCAATCAGTTTTGAAAACTATTTCAGAAAATTGAATACTGATTCCTATCTTTAGATTTTCCCTAAGGAATACTGGAAGTATTGAGGCAATATTTTCTCTGACAAAGTTATGAGAGACAACATTTGCAAGTTTTTAAGTGCAGCTATTTCACCTAGTGTATAGCAGAATAGCAGAAATCAGCTATTACTTTGCATAGTCGTATCATTCTGAATCGAATTAAAGGCTTAAGTGCTACCAGAAAAAGGTGATATTGATAGTAGCCCTGTCAAGAAGGACTTGGGGGGGCTGGTGAATGAGAGGCTGGACATGAGCCATTAATATGCTCTTGCAGAGCCAGTTGTATCCTGGGCTGCATCAAAAGCAGCGTGTCCAGCAGGTGACAGGAGGTAATTCTTTACTCTGCTCTGGTGAGACCCCACCTGCAGTGCTGCATCCAGCTCTTGGGTCTCCAGCACAGAAGGAACATGGACCTGTTGGAACAAATCCAGAGGAGGCCACCAAGATATTCAGAGGGATAGAGCACCTCTCTATGAGGAAAAGCTGAGCAGATTGGGTTTCTCCAGACTGGAGCAGAGAAGGCTTTGTTGTGACATAATTGTGGCCTTACAGTACCTGACAGGAGTCTTCAAGGAATATGGAATGAGACTATTTCCAAGAACATGTAGTGAGAGGATGAGGGGGGATGGCTTCAAACAGAAGGAAAGTAGGCTTAGATTAGACATGGGGAGAAATTTTTACTGTGAGGTTGGTGAATAGGCTGCCTAGAGAAGTTGTGGATCCACCCCTGGAACTGTTCAAGGCCAGGTCAGATGGGGCTCTGATTTATGTGGCCTAGCCAAAGATGTCCCTGCTGCCATGGGAGGGGGGTTGGAACTAGGTTGTCTTTAAGGTTCCTTCCAACCCAAACAATTTTATATTTCTATGAAAATTAACTAGGGCTTAAATAGTCTGAAACTCCTTGTAGTAGTTAAAGTAGATGAACCTGAATTGTCAGTTCAAGGTCCTGGGCATTAGAAAAATAGGGACATATTATTGTATCGTTCCATTTAGTTTGCTTTAGCCAACAGGGAGCAATAACCCTTCACAGATAAGAGTTGGCAAGTGTTGAAAGAGGCCATACAGAGAAGTGGTAGAGCCATCTTTCCTGCCATTATTAAAACAATTTATGGATATGGCATTTGAGGACATGGTTTGGCAGTAAAAAATGGTGGTGCTGTTAGACTGACACTTGGACTTGATCTTAAAAGTCTTTTGCAACTTTAATTCTAGGCTTCTAAGTGTGGGCATATTTTTCTATATTGATTATTGGTTTAATATAACTTGGTTTATTATTTTAAGCTTGAAGCAAGCAAGGCCTATGGTCTTCCTGATAGGTTCTTGCACAAATGTCTATGAAACATAGTTAGGTTAATGAACAGTTAGACATTAATTAGACCCTTAAGTATTTGATTCTTGACCTTATCATTGAGTTTCTTCTCTAATTCTTCTCATAAATATTTCTGGTTGAAAGATTGATTTATTTAAGTGATAATGATAATAAAATCCTATTTACTTCAAAAGATCAAGAATTACAAAAAAGGAATACGTGTCTATAAAAGTGTTATATTGCAATGCTAATGAATTCGTTTCAGTGAAGTGTCAAACATCTATCCAACCATACAAAGAATAAGTATTTTAAAAGGACTTCATTTACTCAGTTGGATCAGACAATGAAACTACTGGTGAATAACAGCTCCTGTCAAACACCAAAACTGAATCATTTCAAGAAAGGACATGTTTAATTAAACACTGTATAATTCCTCTGACTTCATACGAAGCAGTTTATGCTCAGTATATTTGAAAAGGAAAGTTACTACCCAGAAGTGATTAACTCTACTATCTCTCTTATCATTATAGTAAAAAGTCTTCTTCCTGTAGTAGCTGATAGAATACATGCAAGATTTTTCTTATGATATTGCAGTAGAAACTAAAAGCTATGTTCAGAAATGAATTTTCATTTCATGCAGATTTTTTCTACATGGTCTAACTTTTTGACCTACAGATTAAAACACTGTAAGAAACGTAAAAATCTATGTTGTTGTGTTGTCTTACAGTCTTATAGTTTCCTGCTTGTCAAAACACAAGAATGAAGATTTGAATGTTTAGTGTGAAGTATGCTGAGTTTAACTGTACTGAAGTTTAAGGTCACATTAGAGACATTTATAATTGTTCTTTAAAGAAGGGTGGGTGAAGTCTGAAGTAGAATTGATTGGTTTTATAGTTACAGCAGTGTATTTGGATGAGCAGTGGACTCTATCAGACTCTAGTGGAATTTGATAGCCCTGGGTTTACACAGCCTTTACAGCTTCCCAAGCGAGATGAGCACTACCCACTTCAGTTATTCCTACTGGATTGCATACAACCTTGCCTGTCATCTGTGGATGTACTTGATGCCTTGCACAACTCACTGAGAGCAAATGATATCTCACACCTGAGACAGCATTTCTCTTTGACTCTAGCTGACTCTATAAGAACTTAAAATACTTGGATTAAATTCTGTCAGGCACACGACTGGGCCAACTACCTGCTAAGTCTTGTGTATCTTAGATCTGCCCAGTGAGCAGGACTATAGATCCTTCAAGGCCATGACGAAGGTCTGCAACAGAAATGTTGAGTAGGAAAGTTGAGCTTGAGCGGGAAGGTGTCAGGTGGCATACTCATACATAGTGACACCACTTTTATGTCAACAATAGGATTCAGTAATTTGCTAGTCATCCAAGTTCATGACGCAGCAAATCTTACACATTCTTCCTTTGGAGGCAGTTCAGCTCAGTGGCTGCAGGTTTTTAAAAGTTGTTTCTGTTTTTTCTGTTTCATGTGACAGATATGCTATTTCTTAGCTTCTGGGATTCAAACAAGTACAACATTTCCAAAAGCAAATACAACTAAGTCAGTGACACTGAATATGCATGACAAGACATTGACATTTTGTCGGAAGAGTGTAACCCCAATGCACAAAGTGGCTTTAAGCATTCATGTGGGATGCTGCACATCACTAACCCTCTCTTTCTTAACAATGATAAGTGACATGTTACATACATCAGGCAGACAGTTTGAGAAAAACCTCTCTGGGGAAAAGTATTCCAGAAATTTTTTGGCCATTGTCCTGTAACCAAGTGTGAGCAGGAGGTCGCCTTTATGAGCACTTTGTTTTTTTAGCCAGCTAAAAAATGGGGTGCTTCCTCAGAGGACATTCTCATGTTAAACTAGCCAACCAAAAATGCCTTGAGAAATAGCAGTGTTTCAATGAGCACTTGCTACTTTACAGAAATCTGTCAAATCCAGTGTAAATTGCAGTAACTGAAGTGGCCTCAGTGCAACCCCTTTGTTATGATAAATACTTTCTGAAATGTGAAAATCAAATTCACAGAAGTTAAATGTAGAATTATACTATAAAACAGAGAACTAATATCAGAGAACTAATAGAGAACTAAAATGTAAGGTAGATAGATTTGTATATAAAAATCTCAATATCAGCCTGTTCAAATGACCCATCCATTACTGAACATCATTGCTTCACACTGTCAGTAAGAAATACTTCAAGAAAATACTAGAGCTTTAAAAATCGGACGAACATAATGACACATATATAACCAAGACTGAGTCATAACAGCAGGTATAAAACTCCCATTTTGAGTCAGCACTTCTCTGTAAATATTCTTCAATAGACGTTAGAAAATAAGAAAAAAAGAACAGAAATAACATAAATAATGTGAATGAACACCAAATTAGAAAAGGGAGTTAAAATTTTAATTCCTAAAAGAAGGTTATATAAAGATAAGGAATGTTTTATGGCAAACTACAAAGTGTGAAGTTTTCCTCGTGGCTTGGTACTTGATTTTCTTACTACTTTTCCTTAAGGAAGATATTCAAGCTTAATAAGTAGCACCTGCATAAGTGTGTAGAAATATACTTTCAGTAATAAAAACAGTTTGTAAATGAAAGTATATCTACAGATACTTCGGGTGTTTCCTGGAGTTAGGCACTGCTACATGCTCGTACAACCAGAACTCGATAACAGCATCCTGAAATATCCTCTGAATCACAAAATCACAGCCTCACAAACTCATTTATGCTGGAAAAGGTGTCCAAGATTATTGAATCCAACCTTAGACAGAACACCTCATTGCCAACTAGACCATGGTACTAAGTGCTGTTTCCAGTTTTTTTTTAACACCTCCAGGAATGGTGACTCCAACACCCTGGGAAGTCTATTCCAGCGCTTAGTAACCATTTCTGTGAAGAATTCCTCCTGATGTCCAACCTGAACCTTGCCTGGTGCAGTTTGAGGCCTAT